TTACTGCTCCTTCGTGTTGCACAAGGAGCTCGAAGATGGCTTGCATTGCGGAGTCATTCGACACGTTTGTGTAAAGGGCGGTAACGTCGAAGAATTCCATCACATACACGCTGTTGAGAGACGCATCATGTAGTCAGTCCAGGAACATTTGGGTAACCGTGGATTGCGTTGGCACGTGCTTCAGAAACTGGACGAGATTTAGGTTTATAAACCAAGACGTTTTATCCGTTAGCTCATCTTCACAACTGATTATGGGTCTCACCTTTAAGTTTGAGGGATCGATTGACACCAGATCAACAGTTGATGCTAACTTGTGAGTTTTGACAAGCTATATATTTTACGTTAGTTATATATCATAGGACGGGAAATATTGGTATAAGTTGCGAGACAACTGATGGCTTTAAACCTGCTGCACCTCCAGCTTTAAACGATCCTGTGTTCAGTTTTCGGCCGACCTGCGTCAATATCAAAAATCGAAGACGCTGTTTTTTACAACAAACTGTTGAAGATAAGATGAGCCGTATAACGTAATGCGTATGGTCGACCACCGATGGACAAGAGCCGTTTGTGACTGGATTCCTCGGGATGTCAAACGTGTTGCAGGAACACCACCGTCGTGATGGTCAGAGTTCTTCGCAAAAGTGCTAAAAAAATTGATTATGCTCAAGCATTCCGTGGAGCAAACGAAACCCACTGGACCACTCTTCCCCGCGACAATGAGAAATGGAAGGTTTATTGGAGCCCGCTCTAGTCATTCGACGATTCACGGGACGACAGGTGATACAGGTGATAAGGTTTGATCTTGTGTAACGTATCTATTCTGGCTTTGTATGGGAGTTGATCTTGAAGCTCGTACAGACTGTAGCCGATCCTACGCAAGGTTTCTTCGGAAATAGGCTGCGCTTGTGAGAAACTTGGACCCAATTTTAATAGCCAGCGCGCGTCGTCGGGGGAAGTTATTCCTCCTAACACAGAGAAACACAGTGATCTTGGACTTTTCTGGCACGTTATCGATCCTAGTTTGAATTTTACTGTTTTCGTAAATTGTGTATCTTAGTTTTTGAAACTGATTTATGCGACTGGTTTAGCAGATTTCTTATTTTTCTGCTTAAGTTGCTTTAACATTCGATTTGGTATCCCTCTACCTTCTTCAAATTGAAAATCAATGTTGACCCATTGATTGTTCTTCTCCAAAGGTGATCCTCCAAATATTGAAAACGATAGGATTCCTTCGGCTCGTCCTTCTTCAGTTGCGCATATACGTTGCCCTGCTTTCATCAAAAAGTGGCACAAAGTAGTCGCATTTCGACGCCCAGTACTTGGTAATTGTCCTCTTGTGGCTCACATAATTCGTGTAGTCATTTCCGTTTGATGAAATTCGGCACGACTCGATGTTAAAGGTAGCGCAGTAGAATGGGTACTGTTTGCTTGGCTAAGAAAACCTTTTGTTTTGGCAGCAGGACTCTTTTGCCAACACGGAACTATTTTGCTTTATGTGGCAAATCCCAGGGCCAACTTTCTTTTAACCACGGGCTTGACCAGTAATCGGTTTCTGGTTCTTGCTTCACTGTAGATATACGATGATTGTTGTGTCGTCTGCTCCACACAAAAGAGAACGGATAAATGTTGAAGTAATTGAACGGACAGTCAGAGTGCATAACATTCACCCAAGAGAAATCGAAAGGAAACTGGCTTGAATTTCTGAACGTTCGAATTAACCAATCCGAAAACGGCTACACCACGAGGTGGTGCCGAAAGCGAATTAGTAAAAACATACCAATTCATTACCTTTCCTCTCACCCCACACAAACCAAAAGGGTGCTTGCAGCAATTATGCTTTGAACAACCACCAGTGTGTTGAAAATTAAGAGAAAAGAAAGGAAGAACCCCTGAAGTTGGCACCGCTAATCACCGCTAATTGCCATTCCCAATGGCTATGAAACTGTAGGTCCTCGGGATTGGTCTTAGCGGCTAAGGTTATGAAAGTGTTTGGCTAAGTATATTGCATTTTAATTTCACCCTTCCAAGCTCTGTAGAATTTGAAACCGCAGAGACGTAAGCTATTGTGATTTAATAAATGCTGTAGTAACAACCGTTTGCTCATCAATGTTTTTCTTCAATAAGCAGACACGAGGTTGTTAATATAGAATTTATTAGAACACAATTGCTGACGTTTCGGCGGTTTCGCCTTCTTCAGAGCCTGGAAAGGTCAAATTGAGATGTGATCTACTCAGCCAAACACTTTCATAACCCTAGCAGATAAAACTTGACAAATCGCCTTGCATTCGCATAAGAAACAGCTTCATTCAAACACCTACCGTTTATTTGTTGTAAGTATTTAAGTTAGTTGATGGATAGCCGCCGCACAGAGTAATACATGGTCGATAACTGTGTCCATGTCAGGTCATTGGATTAGCCTGAGGTATGGCGCCAGGTCACGCGTGATGATAAAGACACTCCTCCTTGCGGTTCATTTTTGAATTTTTGGCTTTGATCCAAAACGCTTCAAGAGTTCTACGCGCTGATGTTTTCGACTCGTGCGTGAGGATAGTGACTCCTACCTCAAAATCTTCTCCGTTGTGTTCTTGCATCCTATGCGCGCCTAGTGGAGTATTTTGTTTTAGTTTAGATTTACCGACTAGGTGTTCTTTTATGCGGACGCAGAGCGGTCTACCCGTTTCGCCAACATATTCGTGCCCGCACGCTTTACAAGAGATCAGATAGACTGTACCCGAACTCAAGCAATCCCCATCTCTACCATTTGAGCAAATTATGCAGTTTTTTGTTGTACATAGACGGTCGTACAGGTGGTTGCGAACTAGCTGGCGTCTTAGAGTGTCCGGTGGTATTTCTATCACTCGTTTGCTCATCAGCAGTGAAATACTGATCAATGCCAAGATTGAAAGGAAGTCGGTCTTCGGTCATGACAGCGGTTCAAATCAAACTAGACAAACAAATTTTATCGATAAGAACCTTGTTAGATCTTTTAAGCCCGTGATGGCATTGTACTTTCCACATTCGCTCTGTTTGTATATCATATCCCTAAGGAGTTCTATATCGACGAGTGAGTAAGCGTCCACCGCTTTTCCGTGACATGTGATAAGAAGGTAGTACTATTGTAAACCGAGTTTCTTTTTAATCTTGGTGCAAATGATTAGTGTAACTCATTTCATTGACAAGCTTAACACAAGGTTGTTACCACTGTGGTATTGTGGTACAATATCAATGTGGTATTGACGAGATCTGAGTAGTAATCGTGAATAAATTCGCCATTGCCTTTCTTGACGTTGTGTTTTTCCTCTGGGCATCAGATTACAATCAGTTTGTTTTCGTAGTTGGAGGAGCTTCGATGGACTTTACGAATGCTTCCAAGTTTTTGAGTCTTTGCAGCTTCGGCCATTACTCTTCTGCAGGCTCTTCTCTCTTTAAGATCTTCTTTTGTCGCCTGTCCGCATTGTTTTACAAGTTCGGACGTGAGCTGGTTGTTGCCTGCTCCTATTGGCAGACGTCTCTTTGTGACTTTCGAACCCTCAGTTTTCATATTGCGAAAGTGAAGATATTGAATAAGCCGGTCGTACTCCTCGTCTGTGTTATCAATGGCGGCATTCTGCTATGAACCGTCTAATAAACTTGAAAAATAGCAGTTTGTTGTGTTTTGTGGGATTTTGTTCCGAAATTAGTGGCATTCTCACTTTTCGGTGAGAAGTGGAATATTGTGCGGAGACATGGCCCAATAGTGTTTGGGACATCGATTTTGGGATTTTGGGACAACATCGACATGTTTTAGGCAAAATCATCATTTACCATGATCTGAGCTATGTCGTTCCGGGTAGGAGAAGTGGTTAGTGTGGCTAGCCAGGCCATTTCCTCTTCCTCTCCTTTTTCCTTGGACATTCAGAAGGAAGACGAAATCCTCAAGGAGCAGCCGAAACAACTTTTTGGAAATCATAGATCATGGAATGCCATATGCAGAAATCACCGTCCTGGTTGAGATCGACACCGTAGGCAAAAAGCTGCTTAAAAAAGTAATCCTAATTTGTACATGAGTGTTTCTGAATAGGAACTACGCAGCTACTGAGCGACAGTAAAATTTGACCAAACACTTTGCCTGAATGGATTCTTTCAACGCGAACAATCGTGCCCCTTCACCTGGTATGTTGTCTTCTATTTGGAGTGGGCGCAGTTCGTAACAGCCGAAGTCGCTAGTTCTTGTGCTATGGAGATGCGCAGTTTGGAATTCCGTTTTGATGAAAAATATGAGAATCACGTCTTTCGCTATGATTCATCACCTTTTTGGTTTTGCATCCGTTCCATTTGCTGCTTCCACACTGCTTTCTTTCAATTATATTGCCAACATTTTTCTTGGTAATTTGCTTCGATTTTCTAAATTATATGAAATTGTTTTACAGAATGTCGATCCTAAATAAGTTTTGAACAAAAAATATTTGTTTTAAAGAGCAGCCTGCACAGTGGTAGTGATGTTCGTTATCACTAGAATGGTGCTAGTTCGCCTGTCATCCCACCGGGATCAGAAAATTGGTATCGGTCTTGCCCGGGAAAAAAATCGCTCCCTGCAGCCTAAATGGGAACACTCCAGTCTGGCTATCTCAGTACTCTAGGGAGAACTGCTCGACCAGCATTCTACGACATTCAAGATGAAATGGAAATCCTCAATCAGGAACCGAAGCCATGCGTAAAAGTTGGAAGATCTTCGTGGACAATGGATGCGAGGAAACGAATCGAATGTAAGAGGTGCTGGTTTCCGCACAGAAGACGTGAAGATGGATCAAGAAAAACAAGATAAAATCAAATAAAACAAAAAATAAAAATATTTGTTGTGGGCATAATCTTTTTCTACTTGGATCTGTAAAGCAGCTGCTCAATTAGTATAATATTTAAAAAGCGCACCGTATATGTCTGAATAATCCGTTGATTTATAGTTATATAGTTTTTTCTCCTTAAATTCCATCTGGTATGCGTTTTTTCTTAGATGGACAATAATGCCTCCCAATGGCCACATGTGCTCTGTCGATATTACGGTACTTTCAATAGCGAAATCCTCAGAAGGTCCTGATTGTTTGCGACAAGGTTAGTTTCCTCAAATGAAAAACCTGTGATTTTCCTATATTCGCAATGTTACCCCATGAAAACTAAGCCTCTACAAGCAAGGAAACAAAAGCAAACAAAATATCTTCGGCATTCCAATACTTAACCAGTGAAGAAAAAAATCTCTTCTAAACTTTTGAAACCATAGAGCGTTTTCCGCGAAATCACGAAATTGGCTTACGTCATAGAGCAAAACCACGTACTGGACTTTGGATCCCTGGTTCGATCCTCTTTAAAACAAATGAGACCAATTAAATCCAGAAACTGCGTCACTTCTTATTAATGATTGGAATTGCGTTATCTACAGTTGAAATGCAGGTTCAGGTAGAAGTGTCAAAGGTGAAAAGGCAAATCCAGGCTCAGAGTTAAAAAGTCATTTAACGAGCCATATTTTCTGTTACCCTTGTGGAGCCCCACTTCAAATTTTGTTGTCTGATCTGGTTTTGCGCTTTTCTTTCATTTTTATACGTTTTGTCATGCTTGCGGCTGCATCTCGACTATTTCGCCAATAGAATTTCTATCGTTTCCTTCTTTTTTTTCAGCTGAGTACCTCGAAATAGAGCAAGCAACTGGCAATCCATCGCATCCTAACGGTGGTAAAGATACCATAAGACTTCGATCGTGTGCTCATGTGAGTTCAAACGTTTCAAAAAAAGCGTTCATTTTCCACGGGACTACTTAGAGGGACCTTTTGTTTATCCCATTTTCGAACTATCGTACACTGAAAATTTTCTGTTATCACAAACTATTTGCTAAACATGCGATTCTCAGAAATGTTTCCTTCCGGTTTCAGATCACACCAATCTCAATAGAAATGGAACCGGGTACAGAGCGCTATGTGAGAATCAAATTTATATCCGACGAACGAACCGACAATGACGGCAGCGGCTTTCGTTTGTCATGGCAGTGCTCGGATTATCCGATTCCTCGAACATGAGCATTCCGATAAACACGACTTTATTTCTATTGCTTCCTCTTCTATGCCTCTGCATAAAGTTTTTCTACCTGTTCCTTTCATAACTCCTATATTATTAATATTTTGAAAGGCTCGTCTATAAGAATGTTCGATAACAAGCTTTCGTTATGAGACTTAACGCGAATTTGATGGCCATTATATCTTCTTATCCGTGCTGTGCTAGAACTCCACAATATTTATGACTATTTGCGGAGTCATGAAATCGTGATGTGAATAGTTTTTTTATGCTGTTTTAAAATTTTTTTTAAGTTCCAAGTTGAAAAACACATTCGTAGCCAAACACATTGACATCAATGCAGTTTACTTCGCACTGTTACCTTTACGGCGCAATCTCCGGTGATACGTTTTGGATTTTATCAATAGCGATCGTACAACAGAAATTATGTATGTAAATTATGTAAATTATTTATGCTATGTATCGTTCGCGTGTGGCGCAATGGTTGGAAGCGCTCTGCAATACACACGTGGAATCGATCTCCGCGCCCACGGTCCACCAAGCCTTCCATCCTCCGGGGTCGGCAAATTGGTAACAGACTTGTCTGGGAGGACGGCAGCACTGGCTCGATAGATCGGTAGACCACCGCGAGTCGTTGTAAAGGCCAAATATGCTCTCATTCACCTCCAAACGATGTCGAGGAAAAGTCGAGTGCATAGTCCATTACTCAGGATTGATCAACGCCGAGAGTTTTGCCCTTTAACCTTTTTATGTACTCCGATAATAGTATTTTCTACATATCATGGCTCACAAAAAAATTACGTAAGGATGAGTATGTTTGTCTCCACATCTGTCATAGCGATCCATTACTTACTATGGGTCAGGTGCCTTTGGGAGAGAGTGGGCTATGGTCATGTTGACCTGCGAAGCAGACTTTAGTACATGTGGAATGGTCAAAACAATTAGGCTTAACGGTTCAGCGAGTTCGCGCACCACTTTCAAACCACTTTTGTGATCGAAAATGAGCTTCCGACAATGTGACGAGCTCTGACTAAACATTTGTGGTGTTTTCAAGCCGTCGTTAAAAGGCCTACAGAAGAAAATGCATAGAGTTGAACAAAGTAGGAAATAATCAGGAATACCTTCTTCGATTATTAAGCAAACACGAGATTGGTTTAAAAAAAAAGATTCGTTCAACTAGCGTTCCCACTTCTTCATCTTCTTCAGAGCAGGACTGTTCTGAGTCGATTTGGGCAGGACATCACTGGGATTGGATCTGACAAAAACAAGAGCGACACGCCATGGAGATTGTTGGATACCGTGCACCTATAATGCCAGAACCCTTTCCATAGATGCCGATCTTCTCGAAGCTGCAGGTCGCATCAAATATCATGTGATTGCACTGCAAGAAGCAAAAATCAAGAAGGCCGACAGACGCCAACTAAAGAGCGGGGCCCTTGTCATCAGCGGAGGGAAAGTCCCGTCACGAATTGTCAGTAACGTAGGCTTTGTCGTCAACTCGTCAGTTGTTCATCACGTCGACTCGTACGAGATCTTTTCCCATGCAAAGCCGTCCTACTCACCAACCGATGTATCTGATGAGTACGAATTAGAAGCGTTCTTCTATCAGATGAAGGAACTTATCCTCAGTGTTAAAGCAAATTTTAAGGAACAGTAGATGGAGCCTACTTAACATATCGATAATCTCGTAATTCTGTACTGGTTTTGATCTCCGCTTTCTACGAGCGAAGATCCAATTCAACCGTAAGCGGGGAAGAATTCATGTCTTCGACCACGAGAAAAAAAGCCTAGGTGTATATAACGGAAACATTCTAAGCGAAATCCTCTGCATCGTGACTGGCAGATTAACCAAGACCCAACAAAAGATTACGAGCTGCCTGCTAGAGGAATGAAAAGTTGCGCTGAATTCGCCCCAGTGCCTCAAGCAAGAAGATCGAATCGCATCTCCATTACTACTAAGGAGTGGCTGGAAAAGAGAAGGAAACTGAGGCTCGATCCTGAACACGTTTAATATGGCTAGTATAAATTGTCGCCTGCAGAAGAGCTTTGTAGAAAGATCTACATCGGTGCAGGCAGAAGCACTGGTGGGCGATCAATGGACTTGGAAAACAATATGAAGGAAGAATTAGACAGAAGAAGGAGAGCAATTTGGGCGGCATTCGGACCTCTCAAAGAAGCCACTGATCCCTCGGACCTGAAAATTTACCTTTTCGATTCAGCGATCCCTCCAGCGCTCTGCTATGCTGCTAAGAAGTGGAGTAATACTTTAACCATGTGAAGAATACTCCGAACTACTCACAGAACCCATAAACGACGTCTTTTAAAATATAACCGGCGCACTCAATATCCATCCCGAATGCGAAGCTCTGATCTTCCAAATCTGTCACATCTTCGGGAGCCAATAGAATATGCATCGGCAGCGAAACACAGATGGGCCGGTCACAGAATGAGAACAACAGACGATAGATGGACGAAAAGAACAGTAGAGTGGACTTCAAGAGAATGCAAACGTCCCCAAGGACGACCACCTACACGTTGGGCAGACATGTTCGTAAACAAAGTTAATGAGCTATGCCCGCAGCTGCAGTTATTTTACAGATCATGATGCTATGAGACTCAAACGCGCCACCATGTTCGAATAAAATCACTACAGTGGACGACGATTGTGAAAGAAACGAATGGAAAATGTGCTAGAGTCCGCACAACTAGTGAAGACGGACCAGACCGCTCATGTATCCAAGTGAGCAAAGAGAACGAAAATAATACCAACGGAAATAGTACAAATACTTTGTAAGTATATAAATTCGGTTTCTTTTCTAGCAACAAAGTTCTCATGCTATACATATGGGCAACTAGGAGCGTAGGTATTCAAATAGCAGAGTAACTACTAAAAGTAGAATCCTGTTGAAATTGGAAATCTCTCCCAATAAAGTAGATTCTGGTAACGTTTCGTCTCCTTCTTGTAAATATCCGAGGACGCAGACGTACCCTATGACGGCCACCAACACGTTAGGCGGACGTGTTCGGAACCAAAGTTGTAGCTGTACTCGCAGCTGTAGTTATTTCACAAGTCACTGCATGAGGCTCGCCGACGATTGCGAAGAAATAATGCGAATGGGAAATGTGCAGAACTCGTGAAGACGACCGTCCATGTATCCATGTGAGTAGATATAGTAGGACGCCTCTAGCCATTTCACTAAACCCGCCTTACTTGCGCAGCGCGTTCCTACCTTGCTGCTACAGACACTTGTTTGTCTTCGTGGATCGATGAGTGCTTTCCGCCTTAAGGTGCTATTAGGACAAGAACGATTATTGGTATAAATTTAATCTCGGCTTAACTTCTCGAAGAAAACGTCGACCAACATTAGGAATGTTGCCACGAGTTAAATCCTTTGCCATATATGGAAATTCAACATTCAGAACCACTCCTTCGCGATGTGATATTAAATCATGGAAGGACAGAATTCTATAAGAACTCTAATTTTTGTATGATACAAAATCCGTTGTTGCAAAAACACATCTTATCAGCAATCAAGCGTCTACAAAACTTGATGTTGTTATTTTAAGCGCTGTTTAAACGGTGAGCAGCTGTTCAGGTTAGCTTCTCTTTTTCAAATCTGCTTCATACGTAGGTTTTGTTTCTGACTATAGTTTAAAAGTATTTGTACTAAACCCATCTAGGGCCCAAAAAGCTCAAATATTCAAAAATTTAACATAACACCTTGCCATCTACCGAAGTTAAGTGTTTACGTGGAAAAGTGCATAGATGGCAAATGGTCGCATCTTATGCTGACACCACTTCCTCGTCCACACCTTTCGATTTTCTGCAACCGATATCATCTACGGTGGTGAGCGAGCTCGTATGTGGTGGAGCTTGAGACTATGTTATCTTCTCTCATCAACGCATCGAATGCAAGTAGAGCGTGATTTTCGTTGTAAACCTTAGAAAATTGTGCTAGGATGTGTCCGCGACGTGCCAGAATTCGCCACTGCTAGCTACTTTGTCCTTCTATTAGTCGGGCTGCCCCAGAACCACGACAGTTGCTTTGACGGAAGCGAATCCTGTGATAAATCGATCCATCCATTCGATTTCTTCCTTCGTGTCAATCGCCCACGAAGACGTCCATATTTAGGCATGAGTACAACTTCCACTTGAGAATTTTGTCTTAGTCATGAATGACGTCGAATCTTAGTGAATTTCCTTCCCTGTGGGCTCCGAATAGCAGTTCCAGAATGCTCCCATCTTTCCATCTTTTCACCAGTGACACCAACAAACTTTTGTATATCATAAAGATCTGCGCCAAATAATTGTGGTAGAAATTTGCCAACAGCGGAAGGAAGGGAGACGTAGTTCACACGGGAATGGTTACCCCACCGATTTCCGGTGCATACAGCATCGATTGCACTATCCGAGCATCTTAAACTGTTTATAATGAGGATCATTTAATCATTTGGCTGCTGAAGAAGAATCTTTCTGTTCAGGCAGATGAATATTCGTTGAAAAATCTTCTTTTTCCAGACTTCGAAGACTTAATAAGTGTTAGATTTGGTATTAGATGATTTGCTATGTTCATCGTACCAATTCACGTCTCGCCACGATATCTTTTTGGTGGGAGCGAATTCGTCAACGGAATGCCAATCACCCGAATCGGAGCCGAACATGATTGCAATGCCCCGTTCCACGAAAAGAATCAAAAAGAACTTATCGAAGAAGGTTTCGAATTCGAACCGTTCAAGGTAAATGTTTTTCACTTTGCGAAGTACTATGCGTCCCAAAAGTCATGCATGGACCAACGCAGCTCTCAGTAATAACTTTGAGCACAAACTTTTATCAATATTTTGTTAGGTGTCAGTGTGTCAGTGTGCATACGCAGCTAAATGCAATATGGAGAGTAGAAAGGCAAAAGCATTAGCCGTTAACACTTAGTGGTTCGCCAGTAAGCCATTTTAGAGGAGAATTGGACGAACAATTGTCCTATGGTACGACTTCTAGGTAGGGAGCGTGTGTGTGCGCAGTGCTCGGAGGCGCCCTGCAACACACACTTGGAATCGATCCCTGCGCCCATGGCCAACTAAGCCTTCCATCCTTCTGCGTTCGGCGAATTGGTACCTTCTCTCGAGGGATAACAGCACTGGCTCGATACATCAGTAGACCACCGCGAGTCATTGCAAAAGCCAGATATGCATTCAATCGCCTCCAAACGATGCTTAATGAACGCGAATGCATGACACATCGCTCAGGGATTGATCAACGCCGAGAGCTTTTTTTATGAGTTGTGAGGCAGAATGCAGGATGCATCGAAGCGTTCCACTGCTTATAGTTTCCTCCGTGTGTTTTTAAGTTTTGTTAACACAAGCCCGCAAGCTAGTGGGCCTATAGCTGAAACAAGCGGCATTTACCTTCTTGGCAACGACCATTTCGGAGCGCAAGTATTAAAGAGGTTGGTTCCAGAAAATTCGACCCGTTCGGGAAGAGATCAATTTGTGCTCGAATGTTCTCTTCTATCGTCGATTTCTCTGTCGGCAACAACCATGCGGCGTTTGCGAGAGGCCATTGAATGTACTCGAATTCAATGCTATTCTGCCATGCGCTCACATCGTTCACATTTGTAAGGTTTGCTTGGAAATGATCCCTATCCTAAAAATGAAGTCACTACCCTCTATCTTATCCGTACAAAGGATTTTAGTTTTTTTCTATTTTATTCCTCATTGGATTTTCTTCATTTCCATAAAGAACAGACGACGGCTTCGTCTAATCATAAATTTCTACTTTATCCATACATAAGGACACACATAGACATGCATACACGCAATCATACGTGTATACACATGCATACATACGCGCAAAAACGCATAGATGCATATATGCATTTACATGTACATACGCACATACATAGATGCATGCATACATACACCATATACAAAGTAGGCCAAGCTAAAAGCAACCTCTCAAACAAACATTGCTGCATCTGATGCCTTCAGGTTCCTTCAGAACTCTGACAACTCTTATTTAAGGTTGTTACGAGGAAAAAATGCTCAATCGTCGCTCTTGTTCACGATGTTTAAACACAAACTACAAAAAAAGACGAGTACTTGATGAGATTATTAAGTTTGTTTGCTGTTTGTACTCCTATCGATAGGATGACGTCAATCTTATTGCTGTCTTTGTTAACATAATGATAATAAACAGATAACTCATCTAAACATGAACTTGTTGACTTTTCGACAAAATTTCACAAGATGGAATAAGAATTTTGTTATTCCTAGCTTATTTACCGTGTTGCTTTCGTAGAGTTACATTGCCTTCAATAAAGCTTTCTTCTCATAGGACAAGAGTTGGTGATTTTGAAAACTTGTTCAAGTTGAGTTGAGTGAGAAACCAGACATACGAACGAACCGCGCTCAGAGGTGTTCTTAAAAATAGAGTGGTCACTGGCCGATTATCAATACAAGACCAACTCATATATTTTCATATTAGGTAATGTCAATCCCGAAGCGGAGTTTTAAAAGATAAGGACTCAGCAATCACCAATATTCCACTGGACGAGAAGCACAGAGGTTGGGGATTTCATTGAATACATGGCCATTGTTTCATCAAAGCAAGCCTCTCTTTCCAGATCTAGAAATTGATAGAAGATTTCTCTCAGACAAGGTTCCTTAATCTGCAATATCCGAAGTTTCCAGAAAGAATAAATGTGGTCAGTATTCGACGAATAGAATGATGAAGGCAGAAACTTCAAGAGGCAGCGAAACCCACTCACGAACCGAAGACCTTCATGGGTGACGGATGCAGGAAAACGAGAGAAATTAAAGAATTGCTAGGGTCCTTGCAATATATGAAACCGGTTCACCGAAATACCATGCTGCCTTCTAATCTCATTGAAATAGATAGAAGCAAATATTATTTAAGCGAGATCAACGTACTGAAAATTTCAGAAACGTTTATTCTGATAAACACAATTGACAATCAAGCTTTGGATTTCCTTATCACGACGTCTCATGCTTCGACAACCGGCTGGTTGGAATAGACTTCGCTGTACGAAAGCGGTGGCACCACATTTGGAAACAGCTCGTAAACAAACGGTGGTCCATCGTTGATTTGGGTCAGAGCAACAACACTTCCTGGTGGGAACCTGAATGACGTGTCGGCTTCGCACAACTTGAACATGAAATACTATAAGTTAGCATTGCTGATGGCACTGTTAGAGTAAAAATTAGCCAAGAGAAAGCGAAAACAAGAGCCTCAATGGTACAATGGGTAGCACGTGAGCACCCGGAAAGTGTAGTCACTCGAATCTGGTCTGGACTCCGAGTTTTGCAAACATCCCACCATCATTGTGGTTACATTTCACAAAATACACTGCTATAAATGAATAGTATGTAGCAAATGAAAAACCAAACAATGTGATTTAAATATAAAATAGCTTTCACCACATATTTCTTCATGAAGAAGAACAGATTTACGAAAAAGGAGTGGATCTCCTACTTGTGACGTGTGAGATAACTAGTCACATGGTGCGCTACAGAACAAGAAAGTTGTGAAGTCAGACTAAACAAATCTAGAACCCCTGGTCTTCAAAGTGTAAAGCAGAATCTGAAATAAAGGACGAGGAACACCGGACGCGCACTGGTTCCAATGCACTTATTCGATAAAACGAAGCATCTCGGCTCATAATGAACTTCTTTAGTTGGAATGAAAATCACTAGAATCTACTGATCTTTATTCAACAATACATTGTCCTATTCCACCGCGATAAAAATTTAAATTTTTGATGTGTGCAACATAATTATTCCCAGTTCATTGCGCTAAGGCTCGAATTTCAAATACGAATAAATTTAAAGAGGCCAAATTTCGTCCAACAGAACACGATGGTTCCACATTGTGCACTGTTGATGTCATTACCCACTGCGATTGCGCTAAGAAGTTCATGCTTTCAAATTCCTTCTTGAATAATGTGGAAATTTTAGCTGGCTGCGGCAGAACAAAGTGGAACAAAGTCACTTCTCACAACTTTCGAAGTTACCAACTCTCCAAATTCTCAACAGATCAAAACAAGTCCTTTGCTGGTGAAAAAGCAGCATTGCTGTTATAAAAGATGAAAAAGGATAAAGCTCTCGGCGTTGATCAATCCCTGAGGGATGGGCCATGCATTCGACTTCATTAAGCACCGTTGGAGGTGATTGAATGGATATATGACCTTTACAATGACTCACGGTGGCCTACCGATATATCGAACCAGTTCTACTATCCTCCTAGACAAGTCTTTTACCAATTTGCCAATCCCGGAGAGACGGAAGGCTTAGTGAGCCACGGGCGCGAGGGTCGATCCTATATGTGCGTCGCCAGGCACTTCCGACCACTGCGCCACACGCTCCCCTTGCTGTTACGCCAAATGATTTTAGCGAAATGAAATCATGTCTCATCATCTATTCTATCATTACAGCCATAATTAGAACATAATTGCTGAAGTAGCCACAGTACATTTAACCACTGTAGACTCCTCGTCCATCTGTATGCGTGTCCACATTTATACAGGTTCTTTAAATAAAGTTTGCTATTGTAACAGGATGGACCGCATTTGTTGAATGCATCTTTATAGCAAAATCTAGCAGGTTTCCACACATTCAGCTAACAATAATGAGGAATCGAACAGCCATTAATTTTCAAATTTTCATTTCAACTTTCAATTTTTTTCAACATTTCTTCGGTCAAAATCTTTCAGTGGCCTCTACTGTGTTAAAAGAAGTCGACTGCATAGCGTACCTATGGTCCGATCGACAGCGAACATCTAATCCTTTACTTATTTTTATCACAGTAGTGATTCTTCGTGAGACCATAACCCATGATTATTGAGGTCATAGCGAAGGGAACTGCATTTGTCTTATAGGTTAAGACACTCCTTCCTCTTCTCTTCAACTCTTCCTCCCTCTGGATGCGTAATAAAGTGTTGAATGATTAATCATTAGGAAAGATTGGTGGCTTCCGTCACTCGTTCTTCAGGAAAATTTTTTCTTCATGCCACTCTCCGTGTTCACCGAGCGCCCCATGATACACAGCTTCTGCAATCGGAGCACAATTTATTTCAATTTATGTTCTGGGAATTCACTTCAGCTCACAACTATTGCCAGCCGCGATAGGTACGTTTTAGTTACACCTTTGTTCAGATCTCTTCTGTTTCCGAACAGCCAGTAAAAGGCTCGGCAGAGCATAATTTTTCTAACGCTGTCTGTTGTCACATCTGCTGCACGAATCTCAGCACGTTTTGCACTCGAATGGTTTCTTCGGCATTCATCATCCACAGTCTTCGGACATTTCGCGTCTTCTTTCTTTTCCAAATCTTGTTGAATGTTGGTCGATCGATTGTCTCTGCCTCCTGGGATAGCTATGCTAGACCGTTCGCATATAGATTAGGATGTTTACCGATCCCAGACAAGTTTGGTCCTCGACCACGGAGGAATAAAAGATTTGGTGAGGGCGGGAAGGATCAAAGCGATGCTGTGCTCACAATGAACGGTTTCACTTCCACTGTACTACTTGCTTCCTGGAGCATAATTAGCACAGCACGGTTTGTTCCTGAACTTGCAGTTGGAATATCGTAAAATCATATGTCCTACAACTTATCAAATTACCCTTCAGCAATGATGACGAGAGTGGTAAATAAACAATATCTAACGTGGAAAATGAACACTGTATAAATATTATGCATTATTTGACGAAACCTCAATCGGGATAATATTTTTGCATATTGACTTGTAGCACTAACCGTAAGCCTAGGTTAACTCGGTCGATGACACCGCAATCCAACGGAAGCGCACTCGTTTGATGATCGAATGAGGTGATTTGTGGTGGCGAACCGTCGGCCGTGGTTTTATAATGACCTTGTGGATACGCTTAAAATACAGAAGGTCTCAACGAAAACGTCAGACACCACTGAATCATCTTCAGAATCGAACCTACAAACCAACCAACCACAACAAACCTATTGCGGTTGCTACTGCGAGAGTGACTGCATGTGCTACTATAATTACCGGATGTTTCCGTTGTCCACCAGCCAAAGTGCGCAACACAAAGTCAACTCTACTTAGACCTTGCGCTTCGGATTCAGTAGCATAGAGTTTCATGATCGATTCCAATGATATGGTTGATTGACTGAAAAAACCGATCAGAATGAAGCGGACACGATGTGAAGAGTACGACCTGAATGTTTTTGAATTCACCTAGCAACTAAATATTTCTAGCGGCATTTTAAACAAGAACAATCTCTTGTAACAAGTTAGGAATTTCGTGAGATCATATCACGTCGCTTTTTTATCGTCATCCACTCTTTTATTATTGCATAAAGCTGAATGAACTACGCCGGACAACGGTGTTCAATGGAGATCCCTTACAAATCAATTGAAAACAATATTTACTTTAACTGATCTGTAGAAACAATAGTAATATCTACGAGAAAGGCGAAGAACTTACTAGTCTTTAGTGTCAAATACATAGTGCTTTGCTAATTCTTCAATTCTGAAGTCCAAGTTCTCCTTTCCAGGCTTACGATACCAGGCAAGAGGCTCAACCAAACCGGGTTCGATCTGTAATACAATAAATAACAAAATAGGACACAGAAAGTTTCTAGTTCGAACTCACTGCCAGTTTTGCTTTTAGAAATTTTGCCAATTCTTCACCAGTTTGGATGGCACGGAGTGTCGGCGAGCAGATGATAAATTTTGGTAAAATGCCACGGTTATTCATTGCACGTGCCGCTAGCACGGTGCTGTACCTGCCTGTGCAAAAAAAACTCGAAATTAGTCATGTGATGCGATTAATGGATGTGACAATCCACTTGTCCATGTGGCGCGCTGGTAAGACACTTTCTTGTACTGCATGTAATTGCCAGTTCGACCGCTTGAGTAAAGGTAACAAAGCCTTCAATCAATTAGCAATAAACTATTTTTTTCTGAGACTTTTCTGAGAGAATATTTCTGAAAGAACTGACTTCAAACAGCACTATCCTTTAGATAGTCGTGTAGGTTAAGCATGCATGCAAACATCTCTAGAGTGCTTAATTGAGACGACTGCATAGTACATTTATGAAGCAGACCAGTTGTTTTCTTCTTTATTCTATTTTGAACATGTCGTTGAAATACAACCAGATAAGAGGAAAACTCGGAGTTGCTGGTGGGCTTTCATCCTGCGACTACCCTTTCCGGGTGGTAATGAAAAAAGAATAGGCTGTAAAGAAGAGGTAAAAATGGGTTCAATGCCAACTTGTGTTTCCCAGATTATTCTTGCTTACGGGTGATTGCCGATAGCAGCGTTAAGTGAAAAGGTTGACTAAAGAAAAAGCAAACCAATTTGCTCGGTTGGTTTGGTGGATATTATGCAAGCCCCGGAAAGGGTATTCGCGGGTCCGAAACCCACTTTAGGTCTTAAGATTTAATCATATCCCAGAATACTTACAGTTATATTTCAGGTGATACCCCGCCATGGAAAGAAAAAGAATACCCAGTGAATTAAAAGTTAAACAATGTCACTGAAGTTGGAAGTTGTGGGCTGGTCACCAAATAGGCGAAACAACAGAGACCTTGATCAACAAATCGGCGAGTGAATAACTCTGGAGAGCCCTCTTGATGTTTGTGACTATCATCATTCTGAATAAACGACATTGTAAACTCACCCAGCGTAGTGATAGGTGGATTCTCATAAAGCACTCCTCTGTCAAACAGCTGATTTGATGTGACGTTATTCGGAACGTTTAGATCTGTTGGATTCAACTAAAACTAATTATCATTACAAATGGTTATTAAAAGCTTTTTTTACAGAGTTCTTTCTAACAATAAAGCGAAGCTTTGTGATGACCACTATGTACAGAGAAATCGTGGTCGTGAAACTGAATGATGAGATGTGCACCAACACATAACCCCTTTCATGTGTCAGAAAAACAGTTGGAACCATTGCCTTTCAAATTTGAAACAAACAAATGAGAGATGTGGGTGGCGTTTTTTTGGGACTGCAGCATCTCTGACAGAATAGTTTGGATATATTGGTTGCTCAGATCACTTTATTTAAATAAATTTGCATTTCATCGAACAATTTCGGTACCCAACGGTTTATCACCTCATTGCGGCTGGGAGGTGTTCCTGGGTGTCGGACTGCGATGTACAGCGGAGGATTCACCCCTAGCAGGGTCTCCCAAGTTGAGGAGTCCGGTGTTTCCATCAGGAAGCCTAGCTGAGAGTAAACCAATACCAGGATCCACCAACGTCCTGGTATTAAAGTCGCAAGGTGGTAAATTTCCCTCTGATCCACAAGGGCGGCGATTGCCTGTGATGGTGAAGACCTGGGGCAAACTTTGGCCAAGCTGACCTCGGGACTCCGGGGAACCACGATGGCTTAACCAGCAAGTCTCCGAAAAGCGGAGATTATGCTGGGACCCGCACAACCAGTCAGGACGGGCCGTTCAAGTATCAAAAGTGCGCATCAAGTATTTCGGTATCAACTGTTGTGTGAGGAATGTGTTGTAATTCAGTACTGAGTTAAGTGAAATCGATCGAATCGAATAAATCCTGCCTTCATAACATGAGAATTGTTATAACCTACTTTCCAACCGATGAAAAGTTTTTCTACAAAAAAAACATTGTAAACCTACTATTCCATGTGGAGCTTCCGTTGAAAACCAGTCGGACCCGAAAACGCGATCGACTCTTTCAGCACAGCGCATGATCAAAGTCAAACGACCGGCCTGGTTTTTGGATACTGCATATGGCCACGTGGAGCACGCCATGAGATTCTTCTGATTAAATGGTAAGAAGTTGTATGGGTTACTAGAAATTGTATTTTGTTTTATTTCCGACAAATCACACATCTACCACGTGATGGCAGTCGGTAAGTTGGAAGTAACCAATTGTAAGTGGTAAATTTTCACGCATACGTGATGTGTGTGAATGGAATCCCACCTATGATGTCGGTGATTATTTCTGTGTAGGACTTTATTTGATTTAAAGACTTTACTGCTACATAACAACAAAAAACTCGAAGTCATTCAAACTTTATATATATATATATATATATATATATATATATATATATATATACGTATATATGTGTATATATTTATGCTTATGCGTGTATGTGTGTATTTGCGTTTTTGTGCATGTATGCGTGAATGTGTATGTATGCGTGTAGGTGTATATATGCGTGCATGTGTGTATGCGTGCGTGTATATGTACGCTTGTGTGTGTATGTATGCGTGCAAGCGTGTATTTATGCTTGTGTGTGCATCCATGCGTGAATGTGCATGCATGCATTTATGCGTGCGCGCATGTATGTATGTATGTTTGCATATACATATACATATATATATATATATATATTCGAAAGCATGTCTCAGAGCACTTATGCTCAGTTCCTTTAAAGTAGTAGAACAAAAACCAGACGATTTCAACTTATTATTCACTGCCTGCTCTTTTTAATGGCAGGGCGTGTGGTGAAATATAACCTCAATGATGCTGAGATATTTGCAAAACTCCGGACCTCAGGTGCCCGCGGTGAGGAAGGAACGTGCTGTTATCCTTTCCGGGGAGTAATGCGTTCACCACCACAGCATGTGGGTCTTTCATTTCGCCTCTCTCTGAGCTAGTTCTATCGATTTCTGCCATCAGCAATCACCCATGGTGTGGTGGTGAACGCATTACTTCCCGGAAAGAACAATAGCGCGTACGTTCCCTATCGCAAACACCCGCGGTCCGGAGTTTTGCAAATATCTCAGAATTATATACTAACTTTATTCTGACGTCGGATCACGCACTCTCTAGGACCATTTCAGTACAATACAATATGAAATGATTTGCACAAATAGAAAAGATGCAGTGTTCAGATGCCTTACAAATAACCTCTGGTAAGGCGTTCGATATTGAATAATTTGGTGGAATTTGCAACGCCCTTCGTGTTCGCATAGAGGAATACGCGAATGGGAAACTTCTGCGAGGTACTCGCTAGGTATACACAAGCTGTATTAACTTTACTTGGAATCCCGTTAGTCAACAAGTAACTCGATTGGGCACCGACCAGCGCGCAAAGAACACTTCATTTTTAGCACTATGCATTATACTTCTTTAAAGCTATTTTTAGAAAGAAAAGCAAGACGTTTGCTAACATGAGAGTAACTCCTGATGTTTGTTTAATTGTTTGTCATAAGTGTAATGTAAGGCTTTGTAAGGATTCACTACTGTTCTCAGCATGGAACGGTTGAAGCTCGTCTCACTTTCATGAAACCCCATGGTTAACGGACTTGGAAGTTGGAAGGCATTCGTCATTGTTCATGCTTCAATTAAGATGGTGGCGCGTAAATTTTACATTAATACGACCTGTGTTTTATGATCTGCCTTAACACTAATGAGAACCTAACCGTTTTATTTACTGCCTACTCTTTTTAATGGCAGGGATTTAATCTCAGCAACATTGAGCTTATATTTCGCAATATACCTTATCATTAAAAGGCAGTAAATAAAACGGTTGCGATAGTGACTATAACTAAAGCCTCAGCTTAATTGGGTTCAATGCCGATTTGGGCTCCCCAGATCAATCCCGCCGACGGATGACTGCTGACGGCAGAGATCAATAGAACTAGCTGAGAGACAGGCAAAACGAGGGACTCGCATGGTGTGGTGGTGAACGTTTTAGTCCCTGGTAAGGGTAATTGCGCGTTCGTTCCCCACCGCAGACACCTGCGATCTGGAGCTTTGCAAATATCTGAGCATAATTGAGGTTATAGTCCGCAAAAACCAGACAGTTAGCAATGAATCATTGAGGTGAGCGATTATTAGCCTATTCAGAAGCATGATATCAGAGTAACGCAACGACGACAAGGTGCGATGGCCTGTTAGTTTTCATTTGGACTAGAAAACTTCCGACAATAATTATGGACTACATGCTCGTCTAGAATCCTCTAAGCAAACTTAAGCTGATTGTAGTGCAAGAATCCGAACACATCTATAGAATTTTCGGTCAAAAAAGAAGTGCAGAAACTGATGTTCTTAGAAAGAAGATGCTAAAATAAGACGACGAATCGTTGACTCCGACGTGCTCTATACAGGAGTGCTATTTGACGAAGAAAAACAAAGACAATTTTGTTCGCTTTCATGGTCATCTTCATGCATATAATAGTCCTCTGAAGGCTCTTCTTAACCAGGACAGCAACACACTGTATCGTGATTTCAGACAGAACTACTCATAGAAAGTAATGAACCTATAAAAGCTTTTTCTGCTTTACGAAATACGCCTTATAATCCGGACGCTACCACCTGCTGCTACCATCAAATTCGAGATTTCAATAAAAATTAAAATTTGCTCAAAACTCAAAAATCAGCGAATCACAGTGGAGCTAAAGCAGATGTTAAGTCAATTCGAAGCAACTCGAACGTTCCTTTGTCTTATTACAACGCAAGACCGTTTCACAAGAGAGCCATACCAACACCGTAATTTACATCCCTGTCCTGCTTCGTTACGTCACAAGAAACCCGGACGAAATCCGGCTTCTGAAGCAAGAATTGGATTCGGAAGAAGATTCATCTGCAGCAGAAAGAAGTAGCGATGGAAAAAATCATGATGCTCTCCGCGGTTACAATCCCATCGTTCGCCATTGACACTCGCTTACCATTTTGAGATCATCTCAAACTGTGTTGAGAAGATAATAGCAATACAAGCCAAACATTCAGGCATAAATAGATGAAGAAAGGAGATAGTCGGCTAACACATGCACATGGAGAGAACCGATTGGTAACAATACTTATCTGGGTCAGGGCTCCTTGGAAGATTATTGTGCTGATAGGTAAAGGCTTGGCTCATAACTAACACAGTACTGGTCCAACCCCGTCTCGAGCTCATGAAGCCTTCTATCACTCTGGAAAAAGAGAAGTGGTGCCAGTTTTGTCTCGGAACTGTTAACGCTCTCTAATCCATGTGGAAACGTCACAGCACAGCTAATTAAAGATTCCAGGAAAAATCAACTGAGCCAGCGTCCAGCGACATTCATGAAGAGGACTACAATCCTCAAACAGTAGCCGTATATAAAGGTGAAAAGCACAAAGACCTTCGTGGTAGGTTCAATGGGAGAAAGTGAAACGAATGCATAGAATGCTGAAATCGTCACAGCAGATGTGAAGAAGGGAAGTGTAAAATGTAATGAAGCAAATAAAAGTGGTTGTTGGTATACGTAGGTTTCGACCCATCTTTGTGATTTGGTCGAATGATGGAATCTGGTGATCACCAGTAAGCTTTTTGCTGGACCGCCTAGTATGACTCCCACTTTGTACATTAAAAGCTACCTAATACTTACCACAAATCATTTGCTGAACTGCTATCGTTATGTTCTCTACCTCGATTTCAATTCAGTGATATTTTTTTGCACCTACCTCATTCTCATGCGACCCACTGCCCATCAAGCCGGCTTTATTCTCACGCTTTGGATCCTTTTGCTCCTTTTGCTTTGACTCAAACTCTTGCGGTATTGTAACTAGTCTCTGGGCTTCACTCTCATTCATCGGCTTATTACTCGACTGGGCAGGTTTTTTCTCTTCTGTATGTTGTTCCTTGTGTGTTGGTTTATTCTCCAACACTTTCTGGTGTGACTGACTTTCCTTCGGGGTTTTCTTGCCCTTTTTATCCTCTAAATTGTCTATTTTCAGCTCATTTGTTGCGGGCTGGTTTTCAGAGGGACTCTTAGTAGCCTCTGAAAGTGATGTGCTCTTCTTGTTCGACTTCGAGTTATTTTTCTTCGAGCCAACTTTTGGTGAACTTTTCTTCATTGTGTCACCTCGTTTTAGAGCTTCGATGAGGGATGAACTCTTTGTGCTCCTCGTGCCAGATGCTGCGGAACGTTTTGAGTGTTTACCGCGCATCCACGTTGGCGACTTACTTTTTTTCTTCTGTTTAGATGTTGGTGTTCCTGACGATTTTTTTCGAATCGCGCTCTTTTTCTTAACCAGCTGCTCGCTTTTGGTATAGAATGATTTCGTGGTGCTTGCCTTTTTCGACGGTTCCTTCCTCTTCTTTCCTAACGACTTCATCGGTTGAGCAAATTTTTGCGGTGAGACACTCTTGTTTTTGGATGTGCTGGCAGTTGGTGAATTCTTCGTCTTTTTCATCGTTAGCGATTTGCTCTTTGATTTCGACTTGGGAGATTTTTTCGCCTTATTGCCCTTATTCTTACTTGCTTTCTTCCTATCGTTCTTGCTTCTTGCTGTGTGGGTGACGGGCATTTACTGCTTCTCCAGATGACGATTGCTATTTTCTTCAGCTAAAATTCGTCAATTTGATCTTGTCCGATTTTTGTTTTTATATGAAATTCCCACTATACATATGTACTTGGAACAGCCGCGAAAATCACGTAATACAATGCAGATAAAGGGGAAGCTCACATTAGAAAATGACGATTAACTGCCGAACGGTGGCAAAAGCGGCTTGAAAATGGTCGTGCTCATCAACTTGAGTTCTTAAGATAATGGATGATGATATGATGTTTACGGTGATAAGGGAGCTGCAATATTTTCAGGTAATTTTTAATTCGTGCGATATTTTTTTTCTATATGGTTTTTCTATATAAGAAATCACATTAGTGCCAGTGAACATCACTGTGACAGCGGCGTCGGCTTTACCGTTCATCAAGAGGCAAAACTGCTCTCAGGTAACTATTTTTCGTCGTTTAGGTATTTTAATAATAATTCGCTTTTATACACGCACAGTTCACCTTTTTATGTGTTTCATAATCATGGAACCGTTTCTACGAGTGTTTTAATCCTTGTTTTATCATGACCCCACCCAACGGTTTACCGCTCATCGTGGCTGGGAGGTGTTCCTTGGTATCGGACTGCGATGTACAGCAGAGGGATTCGTCTCCCCGGCAGGGTCTCCCAAGCTGAGAAAGTGTCCGGCGTTTCCATCAGGAAGCCAAGCTAAGAGTAAACCAATACTAGGATCAACCAATATCACGATCCACCACCGTCCTGGTATCAAAGTCGCATGGCGGCAAATTTCCCTCTGATCCACAAGGGCTACGACTGCCTGTCGTGGTGACGACCTCGGGCAGACTTTGGCCAGGCTGTCCTCGCGATTCCAGAGAACCACAATAGCTTAACTAGCAAATCTCCGGAAAGTGGTGATTATGCTGGAGCCCGCACAACTAGTGAGGACGGGCCGTTTAAGTATCAAGTAAGTTTATCATGACTAGTTTTAGTGCTTCTATCTTTCTCGTCTTCTTCAGCTCCAGAAATCAATCTTTGTCAGTTTTTAATGGCTTTGGTCACTCATATCGTTTAAATCATCTATAAAAGGTCAAAGGCGCTCGGAGTTGATCAATCCCTAAAGATGCGCTATGCATTCGACATCATCGACCATCGTTACAGATAAATTTCACCAAAATATTAACTTGTAGTGGCATATCGATATGTTAAGTCAGGTCAGGTTAGTGCTGCTACTGTCCTAGGTGATTCTGGTACTAATTTTATATCTCCTAAATAAGAATAGGCTTGTTTTGCTCTCGAAACAATCGACTAGGTGTTTACCACAGAGCATGTCCAACTACTGCGCTGCAGATGGCCATTCGTCACCTATATCACCTGTAATGGGCCCATCGCAGTGGTCGGAGGTACCTTGTAATACACATGGATCGATTCCCACGGCCCTGGCTCACCAAGCCTTCCATCCCTCCAGTGTCAGAAAATTGGTACCAGACTTCCCTGAGAGGATAACAGCACTGGCTCGAAAAATCGATAAGGCCACTGGGCGTCATTGTAAAATGCATTCAATCACCTCCAAACGATGATTAATGGAGTCGAATGCATAGCGCATCCCTCAGGGATTGATCAACGCCGAGAGCTTTATCCCTCTATTCTTTTATCATCTGTAATCCCGATAGTCAGCAAATGATCCGTGTTCGAACCACTCCCAGTCTCTGGCACCATTCGCAGCCTACCGCGTAAGGACTGTGGGCTGCTTTCGCCAAAAGAGTTGTATCGAACCAAGGACAGCGTGTGTAACTGCAAGCTATTCCTAACCATTGTGCTGCACGTGAGCACACATTATCTGTATAACCTGCAATTCCAGCAGTTGTTGAATGGTTTGAGATTATCCCAACAAAAGATCATTTGTGCACAAATTGGCATCAGCGCAAATCAACGCTATTCAGTATGATTTAACCATCACGGTCTTCGGTGATAACGTAGCCATGGATAATTCACCGAGTTCCATTTTGGAGCATTTTGATTCGTAGCTGAACTACCGGACGGAAATGTCGAAAATCATCTTCTCCTATTTTACTTTTCTAGAAGATGAGTCTTACCGTAAATCTCAGTTGTGTTGAGAGTCTATTCATATATGACAGAATGTTATGTATGAGACCGTTTATTTACAAAATGCGTTGAAAATAATGTCATTTACTTTTCTAAGGCAATTTATGAGGTTTTTTGATACTGATATAAATTGCTCAATGGTTTTCGTGTGCCTATCCACAGTGGTCAACTTTGATATTTAACATTTATATTCATATACGAATGTATGAAGTATGATATTATGCCGGCTTTGGTACTCAGAGCTGCTTCTCATGCCACTGGAAACGGTACGAGCAAAGTTTGGAATCTTCCATACGGGAGTTCAGAGCGGAGTTATGAAAAAGTTACACGCAAATGGTGATTGTTTGCTAAGAATCCACACTTGAATCCAAGAGTTCTTGATGACATTCGGTCAAATGGTACTTCATTTTTTTTTAAATGCTTCGCAGTTCTTAATTACGTTTTAACTTCTCATTAATCATACATATTACTGCTTTATATTCGGAATTTTGTCCTATTCCAATGTCGTCACTTGCCTTGTCGACTACGAAAGGAGACTCGCTGCCGTGAAAGAACTGTAGTCTCAAAACGGTGAACCTCCGTCTGCAATAGCTTGTGACTAACTATTACAAAGTCGAGGACGTCATAGCATGGCTATCTCGGAGTTTTTGAACGGACACCAGCTATCAATTAGTAGTTATGTGATGAAGAAAGAAGACTACAAATCTTCAATTTGTATTCTAAGCCACACTATCCGAGCTATGAATGACACTGAACGAAAACGCAGTGAATAGATGAAGTGCAGGAACATAACTTATAATATCAGGAAACTATACTGAAATAATGTCCGACCTTTATTTACCGCCTATCAATTTTTGTTCATGGCAGGGAGTCCCCTACTACCCTCTCTTGGAGCTTACGTGATATCCACAATGATCGCGTGTTCGAAGCGCATCTGAGGTTCCGAATTTTGCTCATATCTCACCATCGTCTTGCCATGAAAAAATATTGGGCAGTAAACAAAACCTAAACATTGTGATTTCTACTGCAGATTCATTTGAACTGAGTTCAATACCGATTTGTGTTCTCCAGATCACTCCCGTTGACGGGTGTTTGCTGATAGCACAGTGAGGGTAGAAAACTGCCTGAGTGAAGGGCAAAGCAAGGGCCTCGGTTGGTGCAGTGAATAACACCTAAGTTCCAGGAAACGGTAGTTGGGGGTTCTAAACCCACATGAGGTTTCGTGTTTTACTCAAATCACAGCATTATTGTGGTTATATCTGAGTACTATATAACACTGAAATATTAGGCATACGAAAGATTGTTAACAGATTTCCGCAATATTCTCAATAAAGCGAAAGATTCATTATTCATGCAGAGGCTAGATTAGGGTCGGTTTCGAAAACGTTCGGCGTCCACTTTCGAAATGTCGCTCGAAGAAATCCGTGTTTATACGTTATGAAACGATTTCAGACATGCCGAGCAAGAAAATTATCGCATTGAGGAGATGGTCTTCTCGGAAATTTTATAGCGCAGTTATTGCACCTACAACTTTTCCTTAACTGATTGTTGAGAGGAGATTAAAAGAAATATTGCTTATTTTGACAGTAGGAAACACGTAGAACTGTAAAACTCCACAATGATGCTGTTCAAACTAAAGGTTTTTCAGGCCATAGAGGATGAAGTGCTGAGGTCGAACCAGTTTCTTGAACATCGAAGTTACAGGAAGGCATTCTAGTTGTAACCAGCCTTTGGTTTTGTCACCCTTCCAGTTGAGTTGCAATTTTTATCGAAAAGGTTTTTCATTACCAATTTAAAATTTTAGTTCACTTTTCCAACTTTAATTTTTTCACATTGGAGTTCTTGTTAGTGGATAACATAAAGTATTTATTGTAAAATTCTACTTCTTAGGTAAATAGAAACATCGCCATTCAAAAGCGTCTCAGTTTCCAGATATTATCCTTGTAAAATTGAGCATTGTTGGTCGGAATATTCCCCAAATATCGGTCAAGGAGATCGTAAACCTTCTGTGGAACCTTCTTCGCTGAAAGACTACGTTACAGTAGGATTTTTTAATATATATAAATGAAAGGTGACCAGTTAGAAAAATCGTTCCCATTAAAATTTTCCACCAACTTTCCGTATTTCGTTTATCCAACCGTCTACGGTTTGCTTCAAATGCATCGAAAGCATCCTGGAATTCGGCATACCTGTAAGTGAGATGTGAGAGTACGGCCAGAGCAATGGACGATATGAGTCTGTTTTGAGTAGGCCGGATTGCACGATTCTATCAAGAGACGACATTCTTTTGTTTGAACCCACCCCGTCCTCCATACCACTAAACTGTTTTTGTGCAATACCGTACCAGATATTTTTCAATATAACCGTTATTCTCCTTCGCCAAGAATCTACTCGCTGAAAGTGAACAGAAGACATTACTGGGTAAGATACACGCATAGCAACGAGTCAATAACTTGATAGGAAACTTAGTCATAACGTAGGAAATCCCCTCCCGATCCACAAGCACAAGTAACCTCGTTGGGGCGAACCCGGAAATGTCCCAATAGGGTCTTACGGAGAAGTAAAAGATGAAAAATGCGCAAATTATCAAACTATCAGTCAACTGAAAACTATGCTAAGCTCGGAACAACTATTCCTTAAGAAACGTTCAAGTACTCAGAAATTTGGATGAATGGGCAACATTAATGGCTCTGTGATATATAATATAACCACAACGATGCTGAGATATTTGGAAAACTCCGAACCATAGGTGTTTGCGGTAGAGAAAGAATGAGCTATTACCCTTTCCGGGAGCTAACGCGTTCACCACCACACCATACAGCTCCTTCGTTTCGCCCGTCTCTCAGCTAGTTCAATAGATCTATCATCAGTTCGAGTTTCGAGTGTCGAGTTCTATCATCAGCAATCAGTCG